GACTCCAATTTCGTCGAAAGAGTCAATATCATCCGCATGGAAAATCTGTCGCCATTTCCCCATAGAAGATGGATGACAGTACATAATTCTATTTTTTTAGAGGACGAACTGGAGTTCAATCGTAAAACTGGGTTTCCCTACCCGGGACAGTAAACAGTTCGTAAATATCCAAAGATTCACAAATGGTTGCGCAGGAACGAAGCCTTCGCCCAAGTTTCTCGGGTCAATTTTCTCCTTGTCGTAAAACGGCTGCTCCGAGCTGAAGTGCACAAGCGGGAGTACGGAGACTCGTACAAAACGCATCCAATAACTATTTTAACCCAGCACTAGATGGAGTGAGGAAAACCGTCTGAGGAAGGTTATTCCACACATAAGCTACCCTAAATGGGAAATCGTTGTGCCTAGTAAAAGTGCACGCTATGGGCTTAAAATGTCCCCGCTTTGCTTTAGCTCGGTGAACGGTGAGAAGCCTGTTGGACAAGGCTGGTGCTATTATCACAACCTCAAAAGTTCCCTTTGTCCAGCAAACACAAAATAATAAAAAAACATCGTGATTCCATGCTTAATACCACACGAACTGGAGCCAGTCGTAAAACTGGCTGTCCCTACCCGGGACAGTAAACAGTTCGTAAATATCCAAAGATTCACAAATGGTTGCGCAGGAACGAAGCCTTCGCCCAAGTTTCTCGGGTCAATTTTCTCCTTGTCGTAAAACGGCTGCTCCGAGCTGAAGTGCACAAGCGGGAGTACGGAGACTCGTACAAAACGCATCCAATAACTATTTTAACCCAGCACTAGATGGAGTGAGGAAAACCGTCTGAGGAAGGTTATTCCACACATAAGCTACCCTAAATGGGAAATCGTTGTGCCTAGTAAAAGTGCACGCTATGGGCTTAAAATGTCCCCGCTTTGCTTTAGCTCGGTGAACGGTGAGAAGCCTGTTGGACAAGGCTGGTGCTATTATCACAACCTCAAAAGTTCCCTTTGTCCAGCAAACACAAAATAATAAAAAAACATCGTGATTCCATGCTTAATACCACATAGCAGAACAACTACCGGTGCTAAGAATGCTAGGTCTTTTCCCTCTGTGTATGACTGTTGGAATCTACATGTGTTGACGTTCCTGCAAGTACAAGATCACTTTTTCTCCCCGGAGCCTACTCGCACGTGGGCTTGAGGTGAGACCTATCACAACATAAATAGAGGGCTTTTGGATACATGCTTATAAATGCACCACATTTTATATGGCCATGGGAAGAATCAGTCCGGCAGAACATGTTCCAGTTGCCCTTTTATGCTTTTGATCTAAAGTCATAAATATATGTTTAGGCGGTTGCCGCTTTTTCTAAGCACATAAACGTGCAAAGTTGCTTGGTATCTCGCACGTTGCACAAAAGATTATGTGATGATCTAATTACGAAATACCAAATGTGAAATAAATTAAGTTTGTTTGTTGCTCGTTGTTTCCTATTGCAAAATACAAGGCCACAGTTTGTTGCATCACCCACGCTACTGACCCATAGGCTACTAATGATCATTTTCCTTCTGTGGGGTTTCCTCTCCAACGCGACTAAAAACCAAACATTGACTATTTTCCCAAAATTTCCCAACATCGATAACTGTTTGAGCTACAACAGAAACTGAGAAATTTCTGGTGCTAAAAATTTCGATTGTGTGTGCAATGATTAGCAATTACTTCTTGAATCGGAAAGGTTAGAGCAGCTTTTTACAACCACTTACACCTACGGCGCCAAGCCGGCATCAGTTTTATTGTCCGGGGCAGAGTTTACACGGCAATGGTGCGATCAATACTGCTTTATAGATAAGATACGTGGCATTCACATGCAAACAACGTACAAAGGTGTCGGTGTTTGACCATCAGCGCCTCCTAAATGTTGGTGACGTCTAGTGGAAACATCGGATTATTAATGCTGAGGCACGCCAGGTGGTCATAGAAAGAAAGGACTATCCGCAATAAATGAATCACTTTTAGTTCGTAGGTCACGCTGGTTAGGACGTCTTCCTTTTAGGGATGTTTTTGCCCATCTTTGTGCTGTGTTGGAGTAATCAAGAGGTGAAAAGTATATGGCCTGGCAAAGAATGAACTTAGTCGGGTCAACAAGTGCCACATCCCTGGATGTAGACCCCGGAATTCAACTCACCAATGTTTATTGACATAGAAATATGTGATCCAATAGCGCATTCAATGGTGTTTTTGCATCAAAACTATTGCCTTTAATGAGGAGCTACCGACCTTCTAAAACAGTTGAACATAATATCGCCCCAAGATACGGCAGTATCTCCTGCATTCCTCCACTTTCCGGTATCAAAACTGTTGCAGGTAAAACAAATGTGTCTATGGTACACGGTTTATAATGAATTGCTTTGATTGGTTGATTTGCAGTGAATGACCAACGTGCAAAGGAACTCTAGGGGAAAGCCATTCTTTGACAAACCACAGTCAGCCACCTGGCACTGGCGACTATCAAACCAGAAATATCCGTTCAAAGTCAAGAGTATGACAAAGTGAAAATGGCATTTCTTCTAAAAAAATCCACACTCGAACAAAAATATCTGTATTTATGATTTTCGAGGAAATACGGCAAAGGAGTACAGTCTATGATTCTGCGTGACGTTGCTTAAAAGGCCTCTCACCAAAGACCCAAAGTTAGCTGGTACAGTACTCGGCCGATTATTTAAATAAGATTATTCCCACCTCGTGGACGTTTAAGGTGCATGCCGATCTTATTTAACCATCTTGTTATCAGACCACGCACGCTGAAGATTTATTTGATGAATGACAATATATTAGCCTGACTATTCTAATCTTGGTGAACCAACAGGTCTCTCATCCAGAATTGTGACCCCATCCAGGTACACTTGGTACTATTCTCCTCGTGGCAGGCGTTGATAACAGGCAAAACTCGCCAACATCCTCTTCAGTAAACTGGATTGCATCCTCCAAACGAGGGCTTTATGAATATGTCTGCTCTCTTGAAGGCAGATTAGAAGTAGCTGGTTGACAAAAGATGCTAAATGATCCGTACATTCTAAAGCCAGCTCATTCAAACGATGCTTGAAGAGGTCGCAGCATGCATTCTGAATTACCGATACACACCTTATAGACCCACTCAGGAAATCGCATTTGCAACAAAACTACAGAGCATAGTAAGTGCATTTGCGGAATATTTTGAGTTGATCATCATAACGTTGTTATTATGATCAGAGGAGGTGTTCCGATCCGTACGAAAATGATGGACGGCATAGAACATTGGCAGGAAGACAAAGGAAACAAACGGGTTTTGAAATTATTGTGCGGGACAAATCACTTACCCAGTCACGCCATAATTTGTACAATTAGAGTACCAGAGTGTCGTTTAAAGAAGATTACTAGATGAGACTTTCAGCAGATGGAAAGGAATGAGGATCAGGAAAGTTGACTGGTTGTGAGAGGAATGAACCATATAGCTTGAAATAATTTCCAAAATAATATTAAATGACCTTTAAATCGGATCTCCTCTCATCTCATCTGTTTCAAATTGTTCTAATTAGCTAAACCTATTTCTGGGTCATGCGGCAGCCCATGAAGTGAATAACACTCTGTGTGCTGTCGAAAATGATGATAATGCGAATGATTGAAAAAATTATGTACAACCTCATAGACAGACGTGGCTAGTAAGCATTAAGTGGATTGCCTAAAGCTTTTCAGTGGCTGGTCTTACTAGGATTGAAATAATGTTCAGCTAGAATATAACAAACCGTAGTCAGCAGTCACATACATGAGTTTAAATTTATTTACAACTATAGAACAACCATGGATCTAAAATGGTGAACAGCAAATGTACCGCACATTAGGCAAGTGATATAGCTCGTGATAACCTACTACCCACTCCATACCCGACCAAAGTAACCCACTCCTGCTATCAGCCTGGTGGGCATACAATCGTGGATACGCATATGCAATATACAGGCTTACATTTCAGAGGTGTGCAACTGCATCCGAAGTCCATCCAATGCTGCAGACTTGACCATATTCCATATCATCCACCCGACGACTGGGACTGCAACACGATGGATTTTCACAGGAGTTCATTTCTTGGCCATTGGAAAAGGTAAAAGTTCTATTTCACCCAAAGTTACCAAACAGCCTTAAAAAGACGATTTAGGCCTCTGCAACGTCTATTTGGCCTGAACTGAAAGGGAATCCTCATAGAATTCTCCCAAAGCTACCCAAGGCTTTGTGTTGCATGGGGTGCTGAACAATAAACAATAAATAAAGACATGGCACTCCTGATCAATTTTCAAGCCTCACCGTGAATCCTGCGAAAACAAGCAACTTCCCTAGTTACATTCTGAATGTTGCAACTCGGTACACCTACACAGACTTCTTTGATTCATATGTCGTTCTTGAAATTCTACACTCTCCCAACTGGTCTCACTGTCATCGGAGAGGGATTCACTCGATGTCCGGAACTCCACTCGAAATACCGTAACTACCATGACAGAAAATTTCCACATACTGTTTCGAATTAGAGTGAATACACTTTGTGTAACCTAAAAAACTGAAAGTTGACAAACCCTAGAAGCAAGCAATAAACATGATCGACATGAAACCCTTCAAAACTTTTCGTATGCGGTAATAAATGTGACGATAATGGTTGACCGTACTAAGCTGATCGGGCTGTCCACATTCACTATTGTACACAGCTGAATGGGTACTAAACAATGAAAACTCATTAGGCCTCCGCCACAGCTGATAACGAAATATTTTGAAGGACCACCTGTTTAAAAGAGAGCCAAAAAATTCTTCAGGTTGCTATTCGAGATGGCTCAGTGGTTACAGCGCGAATTTACCGACCGGAAGATCCGTGGTTTTAAACCTGACCTCTACCTCTCGACTTCCCCTGTCTAGGCTTGGGCAAACTGGCAGTATCCCAGCCCTCGTACTTCCTTCGGGTGATATGGCAGTTAAGCACCAAACGGGTGCTACAGCTTGTCATTTATTTTTTCTTATTTGCTTTTCGAGCACTGCACTTTGTTAGCGGAATGGTACCTGATTTGCGATGGAAAAACTCGCCTTCTGCCCATACGAAACCCCATCCTTCTTGGTTTATACAGCCCATAAATTGTCACCTAGAAGGAGGATTTAATAATGCTTACTGAAAATGACTTGAGGAAAAACCCCATTCAGCTGCGAACCATATTATTCCGTATAGCGAATACGCCATACAAGACTAGTCACTGCCGGTCGACATATTAATGGAATCAACCTCAACGGCCTTCGGGTGGCATGGCAGCTGGGCATCGGAAGGGCGCCACAGCCGAACGATTTATTTATGCGGCTTCGAAACCCATTTAAATGGAATCAACGTGCCCTATTCTCTACTCGGTTTTTCACAGAAACTTATTACACAATTCGAAACGCACCTGCCTGTTAATGATTTCCTCAAACAGTGATGTCAAACTTCGTGGAAGCTAGGGAAATCTCCCGCCAGCATGACCGTCCTAATGGCTGGCATATTCAACGGGTACATAAGCGAACGCTTGCAAATTCAATCGCAGAAAATCATCCCAGAACTCACAGTTGCTTTCGTGCTCCCCACAATCCCGTTTACACAGTCCATCTCTTGTCCTAGCTTATTAGTCCGGTGAGTCTACACTAATGAAGGTACGATAACTGAACTCGAATTACGCTCTGATTACAGTTCGTCAGCAGTGAATTTTCTTGGTCATGCCGGGGTTCAAACTCCGGACATATGACACGCGGAGCGGGCACGCCGAAAGTATTTATGCATCTGAGCAAGCAAACATATCCAGCTTGTTAGAAACACGTACATTGAAACGTACTCAAGGAAATCAACGCTTTTATTCGGCATTTCATTTCACGCGGTAGAATCAACACAGGCTTCAGTACATTGTTGGTGTGCGATTTGCTGATGTAACTTGCTTGTCTACTCAATAGAGAACCCGGAGCCTTAACCAGCATATCATGAAGCTGAACAGCGTCTACAAACAATTCATCGCCGAAAATCAGCCAACCACTTCATTCAGGTCCTCCTTTATTATGAATTCCAGGTGATCTCAGTGTTTTCGAGCTTTTCTTCACTTTTATGCTGTTTTCCAAGCACACTTTCTTGTCCTGAAAAAAACCACCTCTAGATTCCAAGCATTCTGCGTTCTCGCAGACTTTCTGAGTCTGTTCCTTCTAGAGGAATAAACACGGGTGGGGCGGAAATTTGCCACAGACCCTTCTTCAGCCGTCACTGCCCTGCGTCTACCTTCGTTTGTCACCTGGTAGGTGTCAAAACTGTTGGCATTCACGTACACGTTTGGAAGGCAGTTCAGTCTATTGACAGTGTGTTTGTTTCGTTTGAAGAGGATAGTCAGTGACTTCCGATGGATTCTCCTTATCTGGACCTTGCTTTTAAGCGACAAAATCAGGTTTTATTGTAATCATGAAACCGTGGAACACCCTTCGTGTTTGTTTTCTTAACGAATCCTTGTGTTCAACTTCATATGCCACATAAATTGTTTCGTAATTGTTACAGCTAACGCTTCTGGTCTTCGAGATCCTCTGAAGACAGGCGAGTGAAAGACATCAAAATGGATAAAGGTTCAAAAACTGACAAAGGACTTTCGTTTACAGTGAAACATATTGACCATGTGGTATTGTTTATCCTCTTCGTATGTTAAATACATTTACTTAGCCAGTGGAAGCAGAACAACACTGGTACACTGTCAAATTGGAGTTTAACGGCATCACCCTCGGTGAATCATCCAAGGTCTTACTGACCGAAAACAGTCCACTTATCATCAATGCTAATTTTCGGCTATCTTGTGACCTCACCAAAACAGCCGATCTTGAATTGCTTTGTAATCGACCCCTGATAGGTGAGCATACTACAATACTTAATCGTTTCCTGAATTTTAGTATCTATATTGAAGCATTCAGCTAGAAGCAAGAGACAGAAGGATGTTAAACCTGTTGTGGTGGGTTACGTATTCCTGGAATGCACGCCATTCGTAACCGGTAAGTTGCCCTATCCCGCGCAATGATTTGTTCACAAGACGAAGCAATCGAGGAATTGGCGCTGCCAATACTATGGCAGGAAAGCACCAAAGGTCTTGCTCTTCAGGTAACCGGCAGTTCATGTCTTACTACAGGAATTCCAGCCTGTAATGCATATGGAAGTCGGCAAAGAATCTCCTGTTTTTGATGAGTTAGAGAAGGTCAGTGTGCTGAGTGTATATGTTGAATCGGTGAGAAGCGTACCGGACACAGTACAAACCAAGGAGACGCTCGACTTCGTGTGTACAACGCCACTATATCCAACTGATGAAGTAACGCCCAATAGATGTATAACGTTATTCCTGTTATAGGCTGATTTGCCTCTTGTGTACGTCAATGGAACGTTAAAGACGCCATCCGACAAAGACTACGCTCCACTGTTACGCCAGTGGCCAAACTACACCAGTGGCATTGAGCTGTCTCGATATATTCCCGAAAGACCTATCGAAACACTAGCTGGTAATATCTCTCTATCCAATCGGCTAATCCGTTCTCCAACAAGGGGATTTGCACAGTGAAGGCAATGAAACAAATTTTGAAGAAACCTTGAAACCGAAACTAATATGGAATGCTGAACAAAAGGTTATTCTCAAATCTGACCTGGTGACCAAGTAGGTCGTCTCCATTTTACCAACATCTCCCCCCCTGAAAAGATTACGTGAGGAGATTGCAAGTCGTCGCATATGGCCGTTTGAAGTTGTCGAACTAAAAGCACCTGAATCAGGTCGAGAAAGAGGTGTAGGTGTTGCAATCCACGGCTAATGAATTTTTTCAGTTTGAACAGGCAAAGTATGGATATCACGCAGTGGCCTATGTCAATCTTACACCGTTGTTGTACCCAGGTGGTAAGGAGCTCCTGTTTTTTGTAGACACACATTTTTCTGTTCCTATTTTGGACTTTAAACCCTGAGCGGACTTGCTTTTTTTGTGCGAATTCCACTCGACTGCTCTTGATGAATGTCTTGTAAGTAGCGTCGAGCAGGGAAACGGTTAATTCATCTAGGATAAACGCACTCGTGCGTGGTGCCGAACAGTGGAGAACACAAAATAGGCTGAAGCATATTTGGCCAGTTATCCCCCAATTTTTAGGCTGCTCAATTCAAAACCCAGCAAACTGCGCGGTTCACACTGTGCTTGATGGATTGTAGCGGTCGCTAATCCGCCTCGCGAACACTGTACTGTCTAAAGAACCATTACGCCTGCCTGTATACCAAAGATGTGGTAAATTAACTGTTCTTCAGAGCTACCCACGTTTTTCTGGTTATCATATTTACACGAAGAGGTGAGTCCTCTCACTTCAGTTCATCAAAACCGTGAAAAACTTCTGGTGAGAAGTTCTGCTCAAAAGACTCCTGGGGGTAAAACAATCTAGACTCATCATCATCATAATAATAACCGACAGCATGACATCAGTGTTCAACACTGATGCTTCACCGCCGCACAATCATGATTTATTTGAATGCCTTATTATAAAGAAAAGAGTAAAGGTGGATGAGGAATGGGCTTAGTGCTAGTTCAACACAATCATTCCGAGGTGCTCATACTTCCAGTCACTCACTCATGCGATCTGGATAGAAACAGAAAACAAGAATGCCACTGACATTGGTTGGCAGCCATATCTTGCAGATCGGTTATCAAGCTTGGAACAAGGGACTTAGCAAAGGGGGTTAGTTAAGACGTTGTTCTACAGTGGGAGGGGGCTTTGAAGTCTCTGTGAGTTGCGACAAAAACAACAGCTCTGTAAAATGATGGTACGAAGAAATGGCTGCCCAGAAAAGACCATACTCAGTCGTTGGTTTGTTCGCTAAGCTGGACAATTCGGTTGCAAACGTTTCATCACCAATCGAGGTGACATCATCAGTGCGTAGTTGTGCGTAGCGGTACCTCTACGGTACCTGAGCTACCGACATTCTCCTCTACAGAAAAGACAATACTCGGTTAATTCTTGTTGCTGCTGCTCTGCTGCTGCTAATGATGACGAGAATGACGATGATGTTGAAACAACTGCATCTTAACAGGGAACTCATATTTGTGAAAACCTGGCACAAACAAACAACCGTTCCGAACCATACTCTGGTGGCCGCACAAGTGAAGACAGTTCAGGTTCCACAGAATTCGCGACCTTGGGCTAGCCAGTATCAAGGATTCGATTCTTCGGTTGTGCTTGTCAGCTGTCAGAACAGTTGGAGTTTCAGTGGCACTAAATTGAATAGAACAGACAACCAACTTTTGATTGCCCTATATGCAATCGGATGATAACCTGCATTGGAGGTGCCTGCTGACTACAAGTCGGTCATTCAGTCTTACGATCCTCATTTACGGAACCAGTCGTGATTTAAACGAGACAACCAGTTTCACGTGCGTGGTGGGCACTTGTTCCTTTTTCTTCGGAGCGTTCTTGCTGATATGCTTGATCGTTGTAGCCAAGTGCTGAGCGTGTAAATGAGTTCAGTAAAGCCAGTACTGAATCTCTCCACTTATGTCTTGAGATGGTCCTGGCGAAGCGTTCAACTAAAGATTTAACTTCCCCCCTAAGCCATTCATCTTTTGGTTCCGCCGTGCCAGTGTGCTGAAAAGTGAAAATTTGTTTAGCGAATCAATTCTGACATAAAAGACAACCGAGCAGGTTTACAAGCGCGATTGTACCCAACAAACTTGGTTCAATCAAGAGACCTACGATACCATCAAGGTCAGTCTCTATTTTAGTACCGATCGTGCGAAATCAGTCCCCTGTTTTAGTTTCTTTTATCGACAGACCTGCTTTCCTCAATCCACCAAGGCTGGTACTGGACTGGGACTTCCTTGGGTCACAGTCAGTGACTCGTGTTTGCTTGCCGTTGTGGGATCTCTGCGCAATTACGACACCTTTATGTGTGGTGCATGGGTTTGAGTGTATATTCTTGCCATTGAATCTCACACCAGGTCCCGTATGGCGGACACTTTGTGCCTGATGTGCGAGTCATGCTTGTGCCATCGCTTACCGCGCCTTGAAGAACATTCAGCGTTGTCTGTCCTATCATCAGTTGTCGGTCTTTTCACGCGTGTTTCCATTGTAAGCATTTTCACATACGTTGGGATTCATCTTGTCTGACTGGAACTGTTGATGACGTGACTTCGAAAGAGACGCTTCTATCTATTTATCGAATATTCTCCTGTAACCCTTCCACATCCATAGCTTGCATTCACTTGTTATGTCTGTGACCATGCTCTTTAAAAATAAAGACATCTCTCGGCGCCGAGATGCCATGCTACCAGAAGGAAGCACGAGAGCTGTCAGGTTGCCCAAGCCTAGACAGGAGAAGTCGAGAGGCAAAGGTCGGGTTCGAACCACGAACATTCCGATCAGTAAATTCGCGCTCTAACCAATGCGCCATCTTGCCCCCTTGCTATCTCAGAAGGTGGTATCCGAGGTCAGCGCCGGATTCGCGGAGACGTAGCTAGATTTAAAAAATAAACGATATTCGGTGGCAGCTTATCGATTCAGCTCAAATGTTACGGTGGGAAATGTAGCTGATAGGTGCTTATCCGCTGATTCACTTGGTGATATACCTCAGGTATAAAAGTATTACCCCCAAGCTATTTTTTCACTATGTATGCAGTGAAGAAGATTCGAGGGGCTTATCGACTGGTGCCATATTCCGAGGACGAATATGCGGAAAAGGTAAGCTGTACAACTCATTGTCATTCGCCTCCTTTGGTTACTTGCACAAAGTTACACCCAGTGCGTGCTTTATTGTACTTCGACAGAGTTTTCATCCTATCAGTGAAGACTATCTGTGTTGGAAAGCCTAGAAGCACTGTAGAGCTGTTTCATCCTTATTGGGAATGATCAGCGGTGCGTGCCCCATGAAAATCGAACCCTTGACCCTCCGGACAGTGCTTGATCACGTGAGCGTTTGGCCACGAACGCCTGATCAGCAGTGATTAGCTCCCATTTAGATAGGACAGTATCACTCTCCGTTCAGTCACGGAGACGACGCCATGTGGTCACATATTGACGGGATTCTTGTTATACTCCCAGAAAAGGGTTTGTTGGGAATTCTAACGAATTCAGAGCAGTCAAGTGGACACGCTCAACTTTTAACGATCCTAGGGAAGGACCTGATAAGCAGTAAGTCAATGGAACAAGGATTTCAAAATGGTTAGTAAAGAGGTCATGTGTGTGTCGCCCTTCAGAATTAACATCATTTAGTCACCTTGAAGTAGAATTTGGGGACTATGAACACACCTGATGAGCCTCAAGTAGGAAGGAACCTGTTGAGAGCTATCAAGAAGTTTTCAACAACCCTGTGAGTAGTAGGTCCAGTCAGGAAACTAACCATACTCTGCTTCTAAAAGCATTTAGATACTACAGGCGTAGTACACTACTCACAAGGTTGCTGAAGACATCATGGATGAGAGATCCAGCTGGGTTTAATTTGAGTGCCCCGTCAAAAGCAGATGAGTGTACTATGCTACTTAGATCCTAGTTTATATGTTTTTGCATCACGTGACAGACGTTTTAGCGCAGTTACGCCAGTTTGCTATTCAAAATCTGTCCTAGTGTTCTGCTGTTATAAAACAGGGAATTAATGAATAGCCAGAAAATTTGTAGAAGAATTATTGTGTGCCCCACGTAAATCGTTCAGCTTAGGGAAAAACCTCCAGCGAGTTAACCTAATGCTATCTGAGCAGGACAGCCGAATACTACGTTGAACCAGAAAGGTCCCTCACTGCATTCTGCACACAAATCGGTTCGCCGACAATACTTTATACAGTTGTTAGTATTAGAAACTTGTGATAAAATACCTCTGTTGGCCAGAAAACACTAAACTGAGGACAGCCGAATACTACGTTGGACCAGAAAGGTCCCTCGCTGCATTCTGCACAGCAGGCCAATTGGGGTCTTGCTGTAGAACCTAAACATCATTCAACAAATGAACTAGTAATCACAAATGATCTTAATTTTAGCAAGGGACTCAGAAAGAACCATTGTTCGTGGAATTTTCCAATTGAATGAGCTGCAAGAAAGGCATGTTGCACTTGGCACGATATTCCAGTGCATTTCCTTGGCAGAACAGACTACTGATATGACTCACTTGAACCTCTCATTACCACCAGTTTAATTTAAAGATAGGTACATTTCTTCAGCTGACACAGTTTCTTCGTCAAGTGGAACAGAAGGTTTAAAGACGAGACGAAACTACTGATGAGCCTCAAGAATGCGAAAACCGGGCTGTCGAATATTTTTCAGTAATTTTATGAGTAGTATGCTATACGGAGAAGATAGACCATCGGATCGCCGTTTCGCTCCAGCTGACAATTAATGTTTCCGTTACAGACAAAGAGACCTGGAACCATTGTTGACGAAGCCGTGCGCAAGTGTTTGAAGGAAAAGCTTTGGGCATCGAAAGCGCCGAGCAAGAGGCGAGTTCAAACAACGGAAAGAAAGGTGAGAGGCAGTGAACTTTGTTGATTTGTTGCAGTGTCGGGTGATGGTTCTAACGACTGATGTCATTTAGTTTAGCTAGTATGGATGCTCACGTTATTTGGCGCTTGATGTTTGAACACGTGACCTCGTGAAATATGTGACGATTGCGGATTGATTGATTTGGGACGTTTGAAGCAGCTGTTTCCCGTCGTTAATTTGAACCAAAAAGTGAGAATTTAGGTGACGTTATATCAATATTAATAAAATTAATATATTACAACAATATAATATAGTATGTATTAATATTATAAAATAATCTAACAATATATACTATACATAATATAATATAATAATACAATAATAATATGTACTACTATATATAATGATGTATGATGATAGCATAATTGATATAATAATCATATTATTAGTAATATAAAATTATGAATAAACGAAAGATATATTTCTGTAGCATCTACATAGCACCGAAGGCTCCCTCAAAGATGTCGTCAAATAGGGCAAAAAGTCCCATAAAGGTCATCTGCATGCACGCTGTTCGGCTATTAAAGAAGTAAAGAGATGTCTTACTTTGAGTGGTGTGTGACGCTACCCGCGACCTGATGAATCAATGCAGTCTTGGCCAAAGCGTATGCTTAAATTAGTTCCACTTAAGCGTCACCTTTCCACTGAATGCTTTTACCTCAAACCAATCGGGATAATGCAGTGCGAGATAGCGAGATGCTTCAGTGGTTAGAGCGCAAATTTACTGACCAGAAGGTTTCGTACTTCGAGTCTGACCTGTACCTCTGGACTTTTCCTGTGTATGCTTGGGCAACCTGGCAGTATCCCAGCCCTCGTGTTTCATTCAGGTGGCTTGGTAGTAAGGAAAAGAAAACGTGCCACTTCTGAAAGGTGATGATGATGATGATGATGCAGACTGATCTGTCAGACAGGAAGGTGTTTGTTCTGTGTCCACACTTAACTAAAAGGTCATTGGGTTTATGCTTTGAGCACAAGGAAGACAAAGGGTCGAGGCATCCAAAAAATCGACAGAGGTCAAATAAGCTTGGTGATGTATGGTTTAGAGATGCTTTATTTCAATTACTAGCTGTGACGGCTTGTCCTTGGACTTGATCCTTCGTTTCGACACCAATACGATCATCTGCCTCACTGGTGTAGATTTATCCGTGGTTACACAGTAGGATTTGCCCTCTATAGGTTTATATCTTCGGCTTGAATGTTGCAGCAACCGATGAGTCTGGTCAAGAAGTCAAACCTGTGCAGTTGCTTCAGTGCGGACGCCAAGCGGTTCGTTTTCAGAAATTACGCCTTCGCTTTTTAGGCAACATACTCTAAGAACCGACGGAAATTTTACTCAATAAATTGCAGAAACTATCCATTTCTCATAAAAAAATGTGTTTGTGATTGATTTTGGTGCATTCGGATTGCATTTCGACATATGTTTATGCATCTTAGGAAGAATCGATTTTGCAATATAGACAATTCTGGATGTTACCAACGATGACTGTTCTTACTCAAGGTAATCTGGATAGCTTAGTATGAGGAATATAACGTTCATACCATGATTGCGCCTGGGGATTCACGTTTAAAGAAAGTAATATTAAAGACTCATTGATGGGGATATACGCCTTAGACAAGAAACATAGAATAGATCTGGAGAACGTGGAATTTTTAGGGCGGGGATTCATACCACATCGGCTGACAACCGAGGCCGTAGAAGTGACCACGGCGTGAATGGAATCGACGATGTGGAACTGACGAGCGTATGGAAAGCGGTCTTAGATAAGCCAAGTTGACACGTGACTGTGTGTGACTGGGGATGAAAATCCAAACTCGGCCAAAGTTCACAGAATCCCAGTTTCATAACTATCTTAACACCAGCTCATCCACATAGGCGGACGGAAAGTGATAACGACCTTCAAGAGGGATCATCACGTGAACCAAAACGGAAGAACTAGACCCTAGGCTGGACCCGAATCCATGCAAGTTTCCCCATCTGGCCGACACTTGGTCACCCACACAAACACACAAAATTCCTTGGCTGACACCTAACACAGATTTAGCTGATTGAGTCTCCTTCTACCTTAAATCTCGACCAACCTCGTAAACCGACCGCCTGACGAAGCTTTTGCGTCAAAAGCGAAACGTTTCCCGGCGATAATTCTACCGATTGTTACCAGATTTTTCCGAAAACTAGTACCAATTTTCGTTCAGTGTCACCTATCGGAAGAAACCGTCATTCACACTTGCTTGTTGGTATCAACAGCTGGGTTGGCTAACTATGACATATCCTTCTTTTTCGTCATAGGGAACAGCACGTGGTGCGGGAGACGAAACCGCACGCTCGAAAATTGAGACCGGCAGACCCAAGACCCAAGATGCGCTCGGATTCAAAGACACCAGAGTTCAGCTTGGCTCGGAAGAACAACAAGCTGTAACTCCTGACTCTTACATCATCCTGGAGATAAGTCTGGATCATCCGCTGGTCCCCAAGCGCACTGTTGAGGAACTGGATCAGACGATCGCGTCCCACATACGAGCCAGAGAAAAGCTTCCTAGTAGAGAGGAAACTGCTGCGCAGGTGAGTGCGTCCCATTGGAGCGATCTCCAACTCAAATGGACATGGCGGTTCGCTCTTCGTCAGCTTTCTCCTCTGTACAACACTTATCAAGATATCCAAATTCCTGTCTGAGATTACAAACACTTCATCCGAAGCAGTACTACCACCTTCAATATTGTCCTTTTAGAAGTTCATACAGGATATAGTGAACTCACAATAGCAGAACTTTTGTTTCTGAGGTCCTGAGTTCACCATAAAGTGAGGGAGCTCTGGACTGCCGTTCGGCTTTGATCAGAGCTCATCAGTGGTGGATATCCCCTGCTGTGCCGGGATTGAAACTCCAAACGCCTGACACATGTGAGATGAACGTGTTACCACTATTCAAACGACAACCGGTTGGCCAGTTTGCTCGAACAGCTATCCAACAACTGTCCCGGTTGTGTCAGTCTACCAGTCCATGTGTTTGGAGTTCCCAGTAATGAATAGAGAGCTCTTTTAAAGCTTCCGTACATAAAGCGGTGTTCGTCAGGGATGCCCACTCTCTCCATTCCTTTTTAACTTTGTGATCGATGAAATAATGAGACGAACGCTGGAGAGTCTTCAAAACCCTGGTGTTCAAATAGCCTGTGAAGAAAACCTTGTCGATCTGGAATATGCAGACTACATCGTTCTCATGTTCGAAGAGGAGGAGTAGGCGCAAGTATTCTTAGATGAACTGACCAGAGTCATCCCGTCCTTTGGTATGCACTTTGTACCTACAAAGTGTAAGGTCATGCTTGTGGACGTGCAGTCACTGAACACGCCCCTTACAATCCAGGGAGAGGTACTGGAAGTTGTGGAGCGTTTTACGTTTCTTGGAAGTTGTATTAGTTCTGATTGTAGTGTGACAGATGAGGTGATTGCACAAATCCGCAAGGCTCGGTTCGCCTTTGCTAATGGTTTATCCCCTAATCTGAAGGGACGTGTGTACCAAACCACAGTACGGGATGAATCTGAGGCAGTGGTAAAAGTCTACTCATTCCAAGGCAAGGAAGTGAGCGGATTAATCGGGCGCAACATTTCTCCAAGGCAAGAAAGCTCTTCAGTGTGTGACTATTTACCCACCAACACTAGCTAACTGGTTACAAGCCATTAGACATGAAACTAAAAGCTTTATTTGCACAGAGTATTTGGACGCATTATCAAGCATCCTCTAGAACTTTCCTGGAAGTTCTCTGGATAGTTAACAGTCATAAACAAGCACTGAAAAAGCGATTCCATAATTTTTGTACCAAACTTCCATTAGACGCGAGGACGCCGCTTTGAACCTGATCAGATGATACTCACAGGTTTCATCAGTAGAACACACCGGTAGTCTTGAATAAACTGCAGATTTTCAGCTTCTTTTGCCTGTTTTGAGGCTTGTTCCGAAAGGGTAGTAGGATTTCTGAGTGATGACTGATCACTGTTCTCGGAATTGTCTGCTGTCGACAAGTGATAAATCCGCCGAGCTTGGCAGCCGCCTTGCGGACGAGACGAGGAGATATCATCAGTGGGATCACCGCCGCACTTATGTTTTACTCCCTAGACGAACTGGGTAATACTGCTACTCCAAACCGATCAGCATTGACGGTCGAATACTTGCTTGAGCGTGTCTAGCCGGAACACGCCCCACAATCCTGACAAATGACCTACATTTTCTTCTTCAGGCGGTGAGTGAATATCACAAACAAGTTTCCAAAGTGGCGCGATATATTCTGTCCGATTTCAAGTGAGTAGACTCACATTTGTAAAACGCTTTTTATATCCTTACTGAGTAGTATCATACTTCTTTTGCGAAGCCATTTTAAGGAGAACTTGTGAAATTTCAGATATACTTTGAACTTCTAGTGACCAGAGGCTGTGGAAAACTAACCGTAGGCTGGGAATCCTGGAAGACACATAGCTCTCGATCTGGATGAATTCCCAACCGCATTGTTCAAAGATGGGAATGAAGTCCTCATTTAGTGACTGTCGGATCTGTTTGCTTGCATCTGAGAAAAGCGGGCTGTCTCAGACCACTGGGTTGAGACGGTAACTGTGGTCATTTTGAAAAAAACTCATAGTGAGAGCGATATCCACATGGGGATGGGCTTAACTCCAGTCGTAGCGAAAGAGTTGGCGTCATTTGTGTTTCCTCGCCTTACGGTGGCTCGTGAGACACTGAATCGAGAACAGTAAGCGGGATTCCGGCCTAGTAGGGGTTGCGTCGACCAAATCTTTACACTGCGTCAGGTGCTAGAACAAAGCCATACGTATAAGCGACCCACAGTTCTAGTATTCCTAGAGTTCCGAGGCGCATTCGACTCGGTCTAGTATTCCGGATTTCCCAGGCGCTTTAAAATCTATCGGTCGGTCTGTTCTTCCTGATACGCTTGCCCACCAAGTATTGTCCCGGAGGTTTGTAAACATGACCCGTTCCTTGTATTCTCAGACTTCCGGGCATGTAAAAGCATATGGGCCACTCTGCAAAAGCTTCCTTACTTAAAGCGGTGTTCTTCAGGCGTACCCACACTCTCCATTCCTTTTTTAATCTCGTGATCGCTGGAAGACCTTCAAAAGACCGGTGTTTAAATAGCTGCTGACGAAAATCTTGTCGATCTGTAATATGCAGACCAATACGTTTTCATCTTCGAAGTGGAGGAGAAGGTGCAGGTGTTTTTGGATGAACTGACTAAAATCATCCCGTCCTTTGGTATGCCCTTTGCACCCACAGAGCGTCGGATCATTCTCTCGGACATACAGTCCCACGTACTCAGATGACTACAAGGGACCCCATCCAGTCTCGTGTTTCCATGACCATTTCATATACACGAGCTCAAAACTACGCCCACCAAGTTTCATCTGAGAGTAATATTACATATGGTACGAGATGGCACAGTGTTTAGAGCGCGAATTTGCCGACATGAGGGGCCGTGGTTCGAACCCAACCTCTGCATCTCCACTTTCCCTGTACAGGCTTGAAAAACCTGGCAGTATCCCAGCCCTCGTGCTTCCTTTGAGTGGCATGGCAGCTTCGCGCCAAAAGGGTGTTACAGCTGAACTTTCGTAATTCGGATTTAGCAAATCGGCCTAAAAAAGCCGTGGTTTATGACAAGCAGTATTCGTGATCACTACAAAGAAACCTTTCAAAAAGTGACATCATCATCATGAAGGCTAATTTTGTCAATCTGGCTTCCCAAACGACTAATTTACCTGCATTATGAAAAGGCGTTCCACTTACGTGAATTTATGAGATAACTATAACTGTAGAAAGGCGCATGGGACCATTCCTTGAGCCACTTAGAAGTTGCGATTAAGGATGAAAGTTATGCATATAGGTGAGTAGTGGAATGAAAGAGGGGGCGATAAACTAATAAATATTGGGTCCCCGGTAATTATCACTGTTTTCGTCATCGTGACAGAACAATTCACTGAGTGACGCCCTTCTGAGTTGAGTTGGACGAAAACGGATGGTATCAACCAAGATGATGGACGATGGTGATGGTGCGTCAGTATGTGTAAGGTGCTACTGCAAGACTCGGTGAGCTCGAACCCTAGCCTCAATGGCGCTCGCGCATCCAAGCTATTGCCTTCAATGCATAGCTGCCTTCCCGATTCCCCCAAGTAACAGTCCAACTACACTGCTGTATTTACGCACTAAATTATCAGCTCCGCCTCCATCGCGCAGCTACCTACCCCACCTCCCCGAATCATCGGTGAACCAAACTGTGGCAGCTATAACCACTGTACGACAAGCACGCGGATATTACAACTGACAACGATGATGATGATGATGGTGATGATGATGATGGGTATCTGCAAACATATCGAACTCCTGAAGTGATCACTTTAGACGAACTGGGAAATCTTATCCTAAACCCATCAAAGCTGTTTGAACTGCTGCCTTTCGAGTATACTGGCCAATTAACTGCTCCGATAGTTTTCGGTGTTTCTTGGTCAAATCGAGAGGACCTCGAAAACCCCAGAATGTATTTACTCATAATCAAACGGTGAACTGCATTCCACCTGTGATTCTGTACTTTCTATCCAGTGTTCATGTTTTGGACATCTATCTTTCATTTCAGCTCTTTGTTCGACCATTTTCTGGAAGCCGAGGACGCTCCAACGGATGCCGAATCTATTGCAAAAATGTAAATGAACTGCCTTGTTTGCTTCAATCAATCATCCTTGATCCATTTTTCAGGAAACAAGAATTGTTCTACAACTTGAATTCTACTGGGAAATATTTTGCCTACAAACAACGTTTGAAATTTGCCATAATAAAAATCGTACGGGAAAAATTCTTTCACTCCAAGCAATCGAGCAGTCAAGAGGAACTACAGGTAACTAAAACCCATCCAGCAAAATTCATAAAACATGTATTTTGGAAATGAATGTGACATCTCCCTCGGTTACAGTGAGCTATCCTCACAATAATTGCTTTAATTATGGTATAAAAGCCCCAGCACTTAGACACGCGACTGACCAGAAATATATGCTACTGGTTATTAACTTCCGTGTTTCACAAACAATTCCAGCTTGTTTTTGCCCCAATGGGAACCAAGTACTATGAAGTTTTAATTCTGGTTTATTTTTAGGCATTTTTAAGGGATCTCTTCGTATGCCTGCAAGACGAGATGCATACTGCTTTGAACAAGTGGTTCAGTGCACGGGAAATTCCGACCCATGCCGAAAGACAATACCTTGATTGCGAAACTCTCGGTCGATTTGCTCGCGAAGCAGAAAGTCTCGGTGATTTCGGCTGGGCAGCCAGATACTATGAAGTGAGTTGCATCTTCGCTACGAGTCTTGTAATATGGGACACAACATAAAAGAATCATTGAATGTCAGACTGCGGATAGGAAGTGATTAAGGCAAACGCGCTGGACGAATTCACCAGTGTATCGATTGTCTGGCTTCAAGGCCAATGACGCCTCAGTAACCAATCAGGGTAGTCAGAGGTTGGCCAATCAATGCACGCCTTCGGAGGACTCCATAGTGAGGGTGCATTTCATGGGAACAGTGTGGGATCAGCACGTTAAAAGAAACTCACCAAAAGATTGTTGTCGAATTACATTTGCTCCATCTAACGTTGTGCCAAGTTTTTTTCAAGTGTCCATTGTGAACCGACGGAAATCCATAAATCCTTGTGTTCTGTAGGAACGCATATCTAGAGAACCAGACGAAATAGAGCACTGGGTCGATTTCGGAACCTTTCATCTCGGACAGAAGAATTTGGAAGAAGCTGAAGTCTGTTTCTATCGGGCACTGAGTATCCAAGCAACATGCGTGAAGACGTAAGTTCATAAATGTATCAATCGGTTACCGAAGCTAATGTCTTGCGTGTAACGTCATTTCATCCAAAACCAGCTTTCACTGGTGTATCTGAGTAGACAAAAATGCCTGCACGAATTGCTGGTTAGGGAGCCTCGCTGATGTTTACGTAGCCATCAGTGTTTCACAGGCTGAGCAAAGTCGATTGCGTAATCATATTGTGTAGTGGAAAGTTGCGTGTTTCAGAAACCTGTACAAGATATGCTAATGTGGTAGACTCTTACCATTCCAGGTACAACTCAGAGATTTAGTGCACGGAGGTTCTCCTGGGCAGGGACCCTATTTGTAGAAGAAAGGATGCTCTATAACGAAAGTTCCAACGTTACTGGTAACAAAATGTCTTGATCAAACGCTCCGGGATCGGCTGTCACTATGGAAAGAGAGCTGTTGATCCCCATCATATTTCAAATTTCGCTGAATGTATGAAACTACCTTTCCTTTGGGAGTTATATGGACACTATACTTTGGTAATTGTTCCACTTCATCAAAGACTGAACTGAACTGGTCGAACTGATATGCTGTTAGAGTTGAAAGAGACTGGTTCTCATCCTAACTTAGCTTTGTGAGTTAGTGTTATTGAGTTTTGTTCATCCTACAGCTCGAAAGCCCATTTGCTTGAGCTTCAATCACAACTTCGGTTGTTGTGCTGTTGTTGTGCTGTTTCTCACCACATTGAGAAAAACGTAACTTACCTTTTCTGGGACTACCCAAGGAGTGTGATGGCACAATAGGGTACAGGTGTTTGAAAAATTCGATATTTCTATGATTTTTCGGTACTTTTTTACTGCTATGCATATGCAGACTACTTGCGAACGCTTGTGCTTTGGGTGATGAACGCAGTGAGGGTTCAAAAATTCACAAAATGAACATTACTGATGCTTGTACTAAGAATGGAGCTCCTCTATGGTGTTTCTCGAGTTTTCATCATCCTAGGTTACACTTTCAAAATCTCGTCACATACCAAAAAAAAACTATTATTATGTTAGAGGGAGACAAACGGCATCCCGGAAGTTGTAAAACGAGGAGCCAGTCAGTCACTACTCGGCCACACGGTGCGTTTTCCGTGGACGGGAGATAAGTGGCGCGGTGCGGGTCAGTCGCACTGCTGATCCACCGCACTTGGCCTTTGACTAGAAGGCCGTAAGATGCACACATTTGATGATTCCCAATATTTACATTAATAGTTCCACGCTTTTCAGAATAAACTGGTTTCACTCAGAGACCAAAACCTTGTCTGTGGTGCCCTCTAATGGGTTCGAAACATCTTGCATTACTGCACCTGTCCTAGAAAGTACACGAATGCTCACAAAAGTGCTTTCGTTCTCATTTTGTACAATTTACTGTGCCTATCCACTACTAGCCCTCGGTAAGGGAAGCTGTCTATGGGAATCTACTAAGCGTTTCCCTTAAATCTGTTTGTTCATCTTATCAACTACAAACCAATTTCAACCACGGGTCTCCTCTACTCTCCCGCTGTGCAGGCTACTACTCTATGGTTTGGTCGCTGCTCTTCTGGGAAGAAACCACGAAACAACAGACTTTCTGACGGCTGCCGTTACACACGAGCCACAAAATGTGATCGCCTGGACTACCCTAGGTAACTTTTCTATCGCTAATTCTACACTAGTCAGGTAGTTGTGTGCGGTGAGACACTGCAGGTGGAACGATGCATTCTACTGATGGAACGTGTGAGTAGTTGGTTGATTTGAAGTGTCTTCTCTGCATCGGATAGAAAGTTGATTTGGAAACCATAAGACAGTTGTACAGCCTTTGTACCTCGTTTTTTGGTATTCCTGGAATTCATTATGGGGTATTTCTTGGTTGAAGCCCTCCATTCCCTCACGTAACCAGAGTCACCACCCCTAACCCCATCAAGGTGTGTTACCTTGTGTTTGTTTGTGATTGTTGGATGTGCATTGATCTCCACTGTGTCTGATCTGTGGAACATCGGATCTTCTTCAAGATAAACTGGGCTTCGAGGAACACATTTCGGTTCTTATTAGATTGATAGTGTCTGATATCAATACACAAGTTTTTTTCGGTTTTCCATAATACCCCTCACACTACCACCTTATTGAGCGCTACCAGCCCTAGAAAACCTTTCTAAAATCCCGGTGGGGTGGTATCCTCTTCCACTGGATGGCACTGAAATCCCCGTGCCTCTATCCCATCTATTTGTGAGATGTAAATATGTACTTTTCCCCGACACAGGTCTCTACTACGAAACCATTTCGGACGATATCAATGCTGAGAATGCCTACAAAGAAGCTAGGCGTTTGAGTGAGCCGAAAGAAAACCTTGAGAATCCGGAGGACCATACACGACCGGACACTACTCCAACAAGAGATGATGGAGGTAAGAATGACAGGTCCGCTAATCGATTCATCTTAGTTCATTCGATAGTGAGTTCGAGAAAACAAACAAGCGCTTCTGCGCTTCTCATGACATGCTTGGTGGTAACCAAAGTCTATGCATCAACCGAATTACGGTTACTTTTAGTTGGTGTGGCCAACAAGATGGTCTACAGCATGGAATTCAGCCTTATCAACCCATACCACAGTACTGTACGTAGAATTGGATCCAAATAGGTGTGTGCTGAACTGAATGGCTTACGGACGAACTCTCATGTAAGGTCGTAGGTTGACTGTTATATCTGATTGCTGTCCCGATCCAGTGCCTAGTGTCGGAAAAAAAGATTCACCGATAAGGAACACAACAACTTTATTGCAACAAGCGATCGCCGAAGTTACAACGGCCCCGCGCCAGTGGTCCAGGCTGTTTGATCGGTGTTGAGTGAACACCCATCAACATCGACGGGGCTTCTGTGAAATGCCTGAGCACTTGTCATAGTCAGTCAAGCTTCTGTAACGTGTCTGAACACTCATCGGCTTTTGATGAATTGATTGGGTGACTGAATATCTGAAATTCACTTTAATCGATCCAGGCTGTTGCTGAATCGATTGAATGCTTGATTGGCTTGGATGCTTGTTGGCTTCCCTATTGAGATTTTGATGAACTTTTAGGGTCACAGTTGATTCCGGGCATTCTGGGGTTATTTTCAGGTATCTGACCTTCCTAAGAGTGACCTTGTGACTTAAGATCTGGACAGAGTGGTTGCCTCAGCTGAGGGACCAATAATTTTTCACTGATTGCTGAGTTCGTCTCGCCCAGATGAACTGTAAGTGAGCAGTTTGGAGCCCGCTTCCAACCCCTGTCTGTTGAAGACGGCGATGAAGATAATGCGACTGTAAGATTGATTCTTTCGCGCCAATTTCGCTGCTGCAAAATTTAGTCCATCCGCCAACATAAGCTCGTTATCTCTCAAGGTTAACAATACTTTATGCGACAGTCATCAGGATAGATATTTCCCTCGGATGATTATTTTTTAAAAGACGCCTTTAGTTGTCAAGAGGCTGCTGGCTAGAGCTCTAAAAAAGCACAAAATGATAGACGTAGTTACATAAGCCTTATATGTAAGACGGAAAAATGACACCTTCATGACCAGAACCAGATGGAGATTACGGCTTGTAAGTGTAGCTAGCTGAATGTGAGCCGTTGTCCAGCGTCCGTCCACTGCACTTATGAGAAGCAAGATCGATTAGATTGCGATGTTTATTCTACACGTGACCAGAAGCTGATCGGAAGTTGACACAAGAGGATTGAGTTGGGACAACCGGGCGAGTCTGATCAAGCCACCTGAGTGTCTGCGTGTGTGTATGTGCTGGCACAACGCGATTGGCTGTGTGCAGAAGTGACAAGTTTGGGCTAAGCATTCGAATGCCACTGAATGAGTGAGAACGATAAATCAAAGTGCGTTCAAAACACTGGTTGGGGGTCTGACATTCCCTGTAGTTGAACGCCCCCCAAAGAAGAGCTGCTACCTACAACACGGCGCGCTAACACCTGTCCTGACTGAATCCGACTTGGTACTGGAATTTGACTGGACTATATGTCCTGGGTTCGGACCCTACTGCATAATGTTTCGTTTCAACCATAACTTGATTAAGTGATGTGCGTCAGGTGAATTGCTGAATCAATGTGAAGATATCATTATGCTGTGACAAAGCTGGCGTTTTTGGTACACTTAAAGCGGCGTATCGTTGTATGAGTTTTTATTTTTATGTGGTACTGTTGAGTGAGGTATTGTGTACTCATTAGTGAGGAACCAGGTTTTACTAAGCATAATAATCATTGTCAAAAGTCGATTCATTCAAACTTCTTCTGGTCTGGTCGGACTATTCCATATGTTTTGAAAAGCTCCCAGTCCATTTCAAAACTATATATGACACCTTGAAACGTGTGCAAAGTTTTCTGAAAGAAATAACTGATTTTTGGCACTAGCGATCTGATTGCAACCAATAATCTCAGTATTTTCATAAAAATACTCACAAGGTTGCTGAGAACTCTTCGACAGCTCACGACCGGCTTCGCCTTTCTTGGAGCACATTAGGTAGGCACAGTCCCCGAGTTTCCGTCAACCTTATGTTCTACTTGAACCAGATTGGACTGCTTTCGAGAAATACATTCATTTGCAAATCAATTCGGTTTTCACGAGAGACTCAACTGATGTTCTGCAACTGAATGTGCCACACACAGGCCGCTTCATGTTTCGTCCTTCCTCATGTGTGCAGCACATGTCGCGATCGGTAGCCGGGTGCGAGGTAGGAGTCTGAGGAACCAGCCAGACCCGCTCTGAGAGATCCATTGGCATTGTCGCAGTCCACTAGCCAGAGGAACTAAAGCGGACATACAGGCGAGCGCGCATTCTCTCCTGGTTACACCAAATCTAACAACTAGGGGCATGATTAACCCAGTCATTACGCATGAAGAATGACCCTCGGTAGCGAAGACCAAGAGACTAGGACATCTTACAGCGTCATCATTTGTTTTATAAGCTTAAAAACCACAGGTCAGTGTTGAATCAGTGCAGATGCTGGATCTCATATTTTTCCCCCACGCACTCAGTCTCACTAAGGTGGGAGGGAATTCTGAATTTTCCATTATATTTTCGACAAAACAGGGTCAGTTATGAATACCATTTCACAAAATTTGGACCAGACGGAGGAATCGCATTCGCCAAGCCTGTACGTTATCACGGCGGAGTTCTTGTTGGATCATCACGTGAACAGCGTAAGTGAAAGTTGAGTGGAACTCAGTGTTGAGCGAAACTCGTTTTTACTAACTTCTGTGAACCTAAAGGAAATAAACAATTTTAGATTTTTGCCTACACTAGAACTCTGTCTTATGTCTTATGTCTTACGTCTGTTTGCACTTGCAAACAGTCATTCTTCACTCAAGGAACACACGCGTATGGGTGGTTTCTAAGTACAAAACCGCGAAAACAGCAATTATGTTCAGGGAGTACTCATCGTTTTATTCTGCTTTATACAAGGAAATATTAATACGTGAAAGCTACTGGCGCGGGACTGGAGGGGAGGATTTTTCATCTGAGAGCCTAAGTGCTGCAAAATCAACTCCAAACTGTTCACACCTCATTCAGATCACATTGAAATCGCAGCTCTCCTATACACCTCCATTCTGCACCCAACTGTTTTGTACTAGCTTTTTGCCAAGGAACAAGATAAGTGTTGTGTACTCCGAACATATTCTCGAGGAAGAGGTCTGGCGATAGTTATAAACTACCATTGCACTTACACAGACACTGCATTCATCATACGAACGTCTGGTCCTTCCCTGGTAAGCATGATTGTCTTTCGTAGCAGTGCCTGATTTTCAAATTCGGAATGGAATGGCCCCTCAGGTCATTCAAAGGTTTATATTTAGGGACAAAGATGCCACACCACTTTCGTCCTGAGGGCCAAACAGTGATACTATTATCCACACAGCTAGTCTAGCTAGGCCACCTCCTTTTTGTTTCGATCATGGCAATTCTTCATGCCGTTTTAACCCAAAAGGATCTCTGAGTAACTCTAGGAATCCCTAGAAAAGTTGGAGCTGAATAAAAAAGTTAAATCGATTCGCTTGCATCTAAAATTCCTTCAGTTCGCAGTACCGGCTCTTGGACACGAACTTCTTCTGCTGTCGAAACTCATCTCCTCATGTGAGCCAAAACCATATCCTGGTTTGGATTCAGCAACCGGAAACGCATCCATCCCACCAGGCAATGAAAGTACCGGGCTAGCTGTATCCAACATCCTTGTTCCTGATTGGCTCAAGGAGCGGTTGATTCGATACCATCTGACACGCGCACGACTCTGTCTGACTTCGGACTACCTGGACTATGCAACGGCATCGGCGGAACTTGTTCAAGTGACCGAGCTTGATCCAGAGAATGTTGAAGGTTGGTGCCTGTTAGGACACATGCACAATGGTTCTGGGGAGATTGAACTAGCTCGGTCTTGCTATGAACGTTGTCTGCTGTTAACCACATGGCCTCCAGTGGACGCGCATTTGGTCCAGTTGCGACTTGGTTCCATGTACTTGGAGAGTAACGAGGTAAAGTTGTTTTTCTTCTAACTTCACAATTATTCAAAGAATTTTAAAGACAGTGTTTTAGGACCTGGGAAAACGGTCCGTTATGCATTGGTTCTCCACTGAGGTGACTCAGAAGGTGTATGTAGCCAGACCGCCAGATTACACTCACAAATTAGCATATATCGCGCACCTGGTTCACAGTCCTAGGCCCTAAGTTTACCGTGAAGAAGCTTTTTTGAGCTACCATCTCGACTTATTGTCAAACCTACTATCACAAGAGAGGGAGATTTAGATACTACTACTTACGTCTTATAAGTCCAGTATGTGAAACTTGGCAAGTGACTGCTCCTGGTCCAAGCAGCCCTACATATATTACTTGTTGAAGAAAATCTAATGTTTCTCGATCGGATGCCGGTATGTTCGTGCATATAGACGAAAGCACCGCTTAAGAATGGATATTCTGGCCCTTTCCCAGAATGACTGATGTGTCGAGTGGCCCAACCATATACAGCCTTATTGCGAGTCGCATATTGCGGCGGTTTGGGCCAAATCATCGTCTTGCCTGAGTCGTGTGTATCCAGCTCAATGAAAATCGGTCTCAAAACCCACACGACTGAGGTGAGCAAGCCAGCTGGGAAGGTTAGGGAGGGAAAACCCAGAAGAACCATGACTTGTATTGTCCAGTTAACTGAAACGTGGAAATAGTCAAAAGGCCGGCTCCATGTCTTGGCGTTGGTGGGTCACCTTGGCATATAACCTTAAAATCTTCTCACTACTCATCAACCTATAAAGTAGATGAGAATTGTAGCTAAACCTTTACCCGCGCCGATTGCTTGTGTTACCATTTACTGCTTTTGCCTCCGATACAGTTTCAAAAAGCAAAGGATGTATTCCTCGATGCATCCAGAAGTTCTCCAAGCTCTCGAACCTGGTTTGGAGTGGGTGTTGCTTGTTATCGAGTAAGTCACTTTCGAAGCTTTGTGTTCATTTTACGAGAAGTCATAGGTGGTATAGTGCGAGGAGTAGAACCGCTATGACCCCTTATTCAGCTGGTGAAGGTCTGGGTTGATAACGATACATGTGTATGTAAAGGCCAATTAATCTTGTATGCTATCGTCACACGTCATCAAATTCCCAGTTTTGGCGGACTAGGTGGCCATCTGTTTTTAACTGGTTCCATTTTCATGTGAAAGAGGCGGATTTGATGTGTGACTGGACCAAACCCGATGTCATTCGTGCATACTTTGTAAAACAAGCCGATATCTTAGGGGAATATGCTCATTTGCAAACCAATCTGGTTTTCCGAGAGACTCATTTGGAACCCAGTTGAATCCCTTGTTTGTGATGTTTCCAGGCAACTGAACCTGGGAGATTTTAGAAAGGAATCTTTTCGATCTGGAATATGCAAACGAATTTTCATAAAGGAAACTACTCACAATGTTGCTGAAAACTCGTCGACAACCCACGACCGGTTTTGTCCTTCTTGGGGCTCATCAGAAAGGCACAGTCTCTGAGTTTCCGTCAAACTTTGGTTCTACTTGAAACCAAATCGCCAAGTAAAACATAATGTTGACGGAAACTCGGGGACTGCGCCTACCTGATGAGCTCCAAGAAGGGCGAAATCGGTCGTGGGCTGTCGACGAATTTTCAGCAAACTTATGAGTATTGCATTACAAAACCCAATATCTTCTCCAGCCAGCCTCACAACCACTCGGCATGCCTCCAACCAACTGATGAACTTGGTCGCTACGGCGATAGTCTGGTCAATATCCTTCTATGTCAACCATTCTGACTTGCGTCTCGAATGTTCTTACTATAAAGACTAGAGATAAGCTTCGTTTAAACAAACTCTATGAAACCAAGACAGCCCCAATATCAGTTCCTAATCATTCCATCTCACTAGCGTTGAGTGAAAAGCTTGAATCCCTTCAGGTTGTATAACATGCTTGTATTCCACTGAGGTTATCATATGATTCATCTTTTAATGCAACCAACAGTTGCCCCAGTTCCGTTATTTCGCTTGCCTTCCCACCCAGCTACGTGAAATGGAGAATGCTGAAAAGGCACTCGAGGAAGCCAACTTTCTCAATAACCGAGATCCAAACATTTGGGCTTTTTTATCTCTCATCTGTCTGCAAACTGGCCGAAAAGTCGAGGCTGAGCAAACCTACAAGTACGCTATAAAGGTACGTATCACTAAACGTCAATAAGAACGTTATCACCTTTCAATAATTGCTCAGCGAAGCGTCAAATCGTTCAAACTGTAAAAGTATTTTGCAGTAGTATATTACCAGTAGAACGGTTTATTCCAAACTGTAGACAGACGGTCGTCACTTCGGTGCCTAGCTAACTTGTCATTCGAAGAAAGCGCGAGCATTGAGATATTAGCAGGTTTTCCAAGCCTCAAAAGGAGCAATCGAGAGGCTGGGATTGGGTTCGAACCACGGACGTTCTTTTCGGTAAGCCGCCAAACTCACTCGGGCTCAGTCCAAACTGTGCACTACTCTGGAGGCTGCAAGTTTGAAATCCATAATCCCTAATGAAAACGGAAGAGTTGTATAGTGCTTCTGGTCTTTCGGCATGGACTGACATCGGCGACAGGACGAAATCTCGACTGACAGCTTAGGAATGCTAATCTTTGTTGAGCACCTGAAGCTAGACGTTGTCGTCAACGGACGTCCTTGAGATTCTAAATTTCACCCCGTTCTTCCAAGAAATAGTTAAAAGCTCTTTAGTGCTTCCACTGCAGTCCCTTGTTTCTTACATCGAATGCTGATCACGATTGGGTACACTAATTCAATGCCTTGGATCATATCTATCAGGAAGGTCAGATTCCTGAATGTAACCTCAGAACGCCCGGGACCTACTGCTCCACCAAAATCTCAACAGGAAAGCCGGAAAGCATCCAGGCCAGTCAATCATTCAATCAATTCATCAAAAGCTGATGAGTGTTCATGCACGCTCTTCTGTGAGTCTTTTTTCTCCGGCATTAGGAACTGGAACGGGTCAGCAGCAGATACCACAGATTGACGAATCAGCAGATATAATAATATCTGGTGAAATTCATCAGGATCGTTTGCATCAATCGCAGCTCATGAGTAATTGTTTGTTGATTAAGTTCATTGGCCCCCCACCATCTGAGGTGAGGCAGAGAAAGGGAAATCACCAGAAGCCGGTGGCCCTGAGTGTTTTGCACACTAAATAGACAACCAATAGGATTAACCGTAAATGGGATCACTGTACTTCCGTTTCACCTGTTGGAAATTTACGTGGGTACGTTCCTCCACGAACCGATCTGCCGGAACTCAGGCCGTTTCATTATGTTCGCCAACAAAGTCTGGTCAGGGTCACAGGCTAGGCGCTGATACTCCCGTAATCCTTTGTATTTGGCAGTCACGCTGCGGATTGCTGGGGAGGAGCATGGAGAATAGAAATTGCGAAAAAATCGAAAAATGTCCATTTTGAGGTGTTCATTCTATGATGGAAAGGACGAGGACTATTAAATTAGTATGTGTTTCGACTCAAGGGAAAGTCGAGCTGTCATAACATGTAACAACCACCAGTTGGTTTGGACAAAGTTTGAGGACAGTGGACTTGGAATCACAAGAGGTCATCTTATCCGTTCGAACGAAAACCGACTTGTTTCTGTGACTTGCAAGATAATAGAGCGTTCTGTAATTTGGTCTGGCCCAATTCCTCACACAAGTTCAGCTTGAGCTCATCAGGCCGCACGTGACATGACAATTCATTCCCAAGGCCGGTTGTCAACATGACAGACGGTTGTCAAAACACGTAAATTTCACACCAATCAGAGCGAACCTGAGCATGCTGAGCAGTCATTCGTCCTTTGCTAAGGACAATGCTCATTGGTCAAAAAGTCGAATGGTTTCACTTGGTACAATCACTGGCGTTTTCACTATGACCCAATAATCAACGACCTTCGAGCTTGTTTAGTGAATGACTTATCATCGAAAACCAGCGAAACGCTTCAGTGAGCACCCCAATGTGAAACACAACAGATTATTTAGGTTTCATGACATTCTCGCTGGACGTGTGTGGCTACCGTTAGCTGAGTCTGTTATTTTCTTTCCAACTAATGCCAGTGAGCACCACTCACTTCAGGGTGCGACCACGCGCTGTAATCAGTCAAATGGAATACTCCAACAATTTGGCACTCTGAATGACCATTCCATTCTGTAGTGGCGCATCCATCAGGCAACTTTCATTTCCATGCCTAATGCTTTTCGATTCTTCCAGATGAAGCTTGACGACTCAACTCCGCTGATGGCCGAACTGCATGCACTTCAAGACAAATTCGGTTTTGGAAATCCACTGGCGAGGTGGGAAAACGAGGTCAAATGTAAACCATGATAATTGAACTCATTCTAACCATATCATGATTTTCACCGTGAATTTTTACCGCAAATACACTTTATATGCTTACCTAAGGGTGTTGGTTCCTTCCAACGATAACGTGGTTGACAAACAGGACTCACTGGTAGTCAGATACACTCATTTTTAGGCAAATTTGGTTTTGATGTGAGACTTACCTGGAACCCAGCTGAATCCCTTGTGAAAAAACTTTGGCATTCACTGAACGGGGGGAGGCTTGGCACTGGTCGCTGCTTGCGACTTGCTCAGGCATTAATTGGTGGGACTCTTTGAGAACCTGCGGCTATAAACCACAGAATCGCATGTCCTCGAATGATGTACGCCTTATTCAATGCAGCTGTGAATGATCGCGTGAGCGACCCTAAGAGAACTTTTGACCAAGACTTTCAATATACTCTGGTGTTTGTCCACCAAAACCACGAGTTTAACATCGGCGCTGCAAGTAACGAACAAGGCTTGTACATCATCCTGGAGTTATTGACTGTGAACGGAGAACTAAGATCGATATTTCCCTCAGAATTTCGCTCGCAATTCTATCCTGTGACAATCTGTTCTTGCCTAATCCGAAGCTGAAAGATCGAATTTCCGTACGTGTCAACAACTTATCTGCCGTTTTTTCTATATAATAGCCATCCCTGGTAACCTGGAAAAGATATTCGGATTTACTGGAAGTTATGGCTGATACCAAAGCGCAGGTAAGTTGTGTGCAGCTGAGATATGGACAATGTCGTAAACAAGGCACAAGCAGGGCACGATACCTAATTTGAGACGCGGTGTTCTACGATTCAAACAACAGCATAATTTGGTGTGAACTCAAGTCAGGACTCCACTCGAGACAAATAGGCAATTTAGTTCAGTTCATTTTAGGTGATTGCTTTAATGTTGTAGTGTTTTAGTATGCTAGGCAAACTTCACATGAGCCCTTCTGGTGATTGTTGGAATTACACGGAACTGGAAAAATATAGTTGTCTAGACTTTGTCCTCCTAGGCTTGCATCTGAATGCGTGGGCCTAGTCAGCAGTGAACTGACACACATACAATCTCGATTTGAAGGGGACGTTTAAGACTATTTGTAGGAAGCCCTTCTCAACAAGGAACGATTCTAGTTCAGCAGAGTTGATCCTGAAGAAAAAGCGTTTCAAAAGAGTGGAGCGAACGCCTTGACGAACAATGTTTTTCGACATACGAGCTCGGGCGCCTCCAGTGGGGATGCTTCAGAGGATTGAAACCCGATTTTTTGAGGGGGTTAAGAAACACTGTGGCCTAACTGTTGTCTCATCCACTTACCTCGGATTTGTGACCGAAAACATTTCGTAAACAACTTTCAGAGACTGAGTTTACTTAGGTGTGTAAACTATCCAAAGGTCCTGAAGACACAGAGGTTCGTAGTACAATAAGGCAGGGGAGGAATTGTTGCCGGTCTGGCGAAAATACCCCAGAGGAACGTTTGTCAGAAAAGCCAGAGTTCTAGTCATTAATTAACAGCTGATTTTACCAAGTGGTTCGTTGTAAAGGTAATGTTGATGATGCCTTATCACCAAAAGGTCTGAGACCCTCCATCTTGAAGCCTCTCTCGAAAACTGATGAAGTTTGATGAATGATATGCCTTGAGGTAAGAGCTCCTGGACACAGGTAAAAACTGATTCAAGAAATTTATTACCCAAAATACAAGGTCTTGTTGAGTGACATCTGATCATTCTGAAATTCTCTTTTCAAGGGAGATTTCTTCATGTAAAGGAAATCAATCTGTGTTGACAAATCGAGAAGCACTATTTCATACTTAAGAGGAATCGTTGGCATGACTCATCTCACGAAACTTCAGTACGGAGTTTTGAACCCATGACTTCCAGGGCTATAGTCTTGTACAGTTGAGCGCTCGAGTGGCCCATCAGCAGTGTGGTTAACTTGCCCTTAGACGGGATACAGCGCCACCAATCCTTCAAAGACAACAACCACATCAAATGATGTTAATGACTCTTGGAACGACGACTTTCAAGATGAGGGTCACACCTACCTTGTGAAATTATTCCTTCTCTAAGCTACTTCTGAAATGTACCAGAAAACTGGTTGAGAGCTTCGGTGGGACACGTTATCTGGACCAGTGGTATTCATAGAAGAAATACCGTAGATTAGTGGGAGATGAGGCCTACTGAATGGAAAGAGACTCGAGCTGTTGTTAGTGTAAGGATTTTTTCGGGGAATTTTTGCGGATTTTTCCCGAACAACTTCCAAATTCCTTACACTACTGACAATCTACAAGCAGCTCAGATGAAGAATAATTCCAACAACCAAACAGCTCACCCGAGCTACCTACATTTCACAACATTGCTGAAGAATAATTCCACTAGAGAAGTGAAATTTCTATCCGAAAAGTCGTCAATCAACACGTGACCATGTGATGTGTTTCCTGTGACGAAGGCTGAGTGACGCTAAATCCTGTCCAAGTGAGAACTAATCACAATACTGATCAGTCACAAGTCCGAAAAGTTTTATTGTTGTTTCGACAGACGCACATTGCTGATGATTCCCAATAAAAATGAACCAGCTTTGAATAGTGTTTCCAGAACTTTCGGCATAGAATGTCTTCACACAGAGGACGAAATCTTTATTAGCTGAAATTTATTCGACCACACAGTGCGTCAGAAGAGTCAAAAGGAAATGAGTGAAGAACCGGTGGTTGTTTCTTAAATAGGCGGTTTACAACACTGCGTGTGATAGCTTCCTGAACAGTAGGAATAGAGCCTTCCCAAGAAGGTTTCTTCAGCTACCAGCCCATTTCCAGTTGAAAGCCTTCGTATAGAATTGCTAGTACAAACTTATACGCAGACGAAGTGTTCGGTACTACAGATTACCACTGTCCATTTCTTCCAATGCAATGCAGTATGAACAAATCTACCTTCAAGATAGTTGAGATCAGTCTGTCACCTGGTTTACACAACCATTTTGCTCCCATTTAAGCTGGATAACTTGTAACACAAAAAGACTGATATGACGTACATCGTACCAGGGCATTCATTTTTTCATTCAGCTAAACTCCCCAACTCACGTATTCCACTGTCACTCAGCTGAACTGTCCAATTTTGCATTGAGCGTAATGCTGTTACGGCCAACAGTACTTTCCGATAAATTTCCATCGTCTCTTAATCTGGCATCTTCAAATTCTCAACGCGCTTAGCGAACCCAGAGGGTTACTGAATCTTCATTTCATCGGCAGCGTAGCATCAGTCTTCAAACATCGATGCTTCGCTGCGGTACAACCGTACGTTATTTGAAAGCCTAATCCCTAAGTAAAAAATGAAAGCGGATGAGGAATAGACTTGGAGCTAGCTTACCACAACCATTTCGATTTAGCTACACTTTCAGGTGCTCAGTCATTCAAAATGAGCAAGAAAAGACGGCAGAAACATCACTGACGGCCACATCTCACAGCTTTTTGAACAGGATGCGGTGGGGATCACGCGGACCCTATCCAGGAAGGCAAACCGCTGAATTTTAGTGATCATTTATCTGCCCCTATGTCAGGTTAAAGGTTGCCCAACACCCTGGTTTCACCGTTCTAAATTGGACACGGAGAATAGCACTCATTTCAGTGAACGATCTAACCACCGTAGTTTTCACTGTTGTGCACATTCTACAACTGAGGTCTCTGTTGCATAAAACACCCTCGTTTTCCAATCGTTCCTGCATAGATTAGCGGGCACCAGCCAACACGATCTTTTGGAAGTTGCAGTCATCTTCATTGCTGAGATAAGTAAGGTCTTTCAGACCAAGCAACAAATCATTGTGACATAGTACCACGTTTTTACGATCTGTGTTCGAACAGTCAGTAATAACTGTGGCATCACTGCAAACAATATTTTTTCTTATAAATTTTTCCCCGAAACCATGAAGAAACTCCTGCGTGTGATCAACTAATTGAAATCTTATCTTTGAGAAATACACTCAATTGCAAATCAATTTGGTTTTCACGAGAGACTCAACTGAATCTCTCGTTTATGATGTTCTACAACTGAATGTGCTGCACATAGGCCGCCTCATGATTCAGTTGGCACGATATTCGGGATATTGCAGTATATTTTCATAAAGGAAACTACTCACAAGGTTGCGGTCGAAGAGTTTTCAGCAATCTTGTGAGTAGTTTCCTTTACAAAATCTTATCTTATTTCCTGATATCACGCAAGTAGCATTGGGGGGGGGGCTAGTACCGCATATAACATCACCGAGTGTTCAACAGACCCTCTTGAAACGATAATATAATCGTCTAGGTTCCAAAATGATATGAATTTCTGCTTGACTCTTTCCTTCTGTGTTCTCAAACATAGTGAATGAGTGAGAGAGTTGAGTCTGAGGTTCAGGGCGATCTCATGTTCAAGGAATTCGTTGTCTGCTTAGATACCACCCTCAGGAGTGATGTATTTTTCTTTCCCGGACATGCTACAGCTAGGTCTTTCTACACAGTGTCGTGACGGGTTGACGAACAAGTTATGAGGCGCGCTGTTGAATATATTCCATTGATTTGAAACCTGTTTGTTGTTCATTTCCAAGCCAATATTGTACCCCACTAAATCTTCGACTGAAGCAGACCGTGTCCTGTCATTTAATTGGTTCAAATGAGCTATCGATCGGCCCATCTCGAGCACCAGTAACGATCTATAAAATGCCTATCGTTATCCTCCAAAGACACAGTCCAATATATGAGTTTTCTTCAGCAAGTCAAAGTGTCCACTCCGTCTCCTCTCCTGTTTTTTCTGCTGCAGAACTGGTTAGGAAGCACGGGTTGTTCTACTGCGCGTGGATGTATCGCCTATTAACGTAGTAAATATGGCCACTGTCCCGTTTTATTGTTTGTTCGTACCGCTGAACACCCTGTATTTCCCCGTTTACACGGGGCCGCCACAA